GGAACACGTCAGTATCTGCTAAATCTATGTAAAGCTTTCAAAGGAGGTAGTTTCACTATTGAAATAATTCTCCAAAACAATGTTGACTGACTTGGGACTAAGCTCGTGAATTTAACCCTCTAACCAGTATTTTTCCCCCATTTCACTTTCTAGATTGATTTGAGGGGTTTTTTTTTTTTCCTCTTCCTTATTTGAAAATATTTGTTAAGGCCTGAAGAGAGCTAGGAGTAGGGGGTATGCAGTGTTCATATGCACACATAGAAGGTAAAAACAAGCCTGGTTCTTATCTAGCCTGAACACTTCAGTAGGAACAGAGTTTTGTATTCAGTTTCTCCAGCCACCAAAACTTGAAGGTTATAGAATATTCTATTTCAGGACACCTTTAAAAACGAGGAGCCGGTGTAAAAGTACTGCAGTGTTATTTTGATTTCTGCCACAGAATGAATCACTCCTCCTGAATGCAAACACCAGCAAAGAATGCGTTAGAGGATCCGCCATCATATTAAAAATTAAATCCGGCTGCATTTCATAATGGGCTTTCCTTTTTAAAGCACAGTTTCATCTTCTCACCATGGAAATTTCGCTCTGATGGCTGTTGTTTATGGTTAACACTGAGGCATCGGCTGAGGTCAGAACCCTGCTTCTCTGAACAGGGAACCACAAATGTCACCGACACATGGTACGCTTGGCAAATAATATATTTCTTTCCAATCTCCTGTGTCTTCAGTTTGCCTATCGTCATGCTTGTGGTAAGCTGAGGAGAGTTTATTTCTCGGGTCTTCTTTCCTTCCTTTGGTGGGACCAGCCGGAGGCATGCAATTTACAATGAATTCAAAAGTGCCCCTCTTTTGATTTTTGTTGTTGTCTTTATTTTAACCTCCAAAAAGAGAGAGATTTAACTCAGTCTTCACCCCAGGCTAAGCTAATACTTAGGTCATGTCTGAGCTCTCTGGGGAACCCCGGCTTTATACCGTCCGAGGGGCAATGGTGTCTTTTCACGTGGAGCAGCACAGCTGTCCAGCCATATGGGCCCCAAAGAGCCCAGTCGATCGGATTTGGGGAGGTTTTACAATGTAATTTCTTAACGTGTTAGTATTTGGGGTGAGTTTGATCAGGAGTATAGACAGCTCTTAAGCCCAAGGGTTTAGGTTTTAAGAAGCCATCACAAATGTCCCAGCATCTGATCCGACTGGTGAAAAACCGATATGAAATCTGTGACTGGGGGAGGGGAAAGGACTGCTGCACCCCTCATTGGAGAAAGCCCCAGGGGTATGCTCTAACTATTAATTCAGCATCAGCTGCCTTTTTTTCCCCCTCCTTTTCTTTTCTTTTTTAACCCGGGGCTCATCATTTAAGGCGTTCCCACTCAGGCCTGCAGAGCCTGTTACAAAACCATGTCTCTGCTCCCCTCCCCCCATGCCGCAAGATGAGAGAGCAAATATCCTGCATTGCAGCAACAGCGCAGGAGGACTGCACTGAAACCGTCCTCAAGCTAAACAAAACCAGGCCTTTAAGGAAAAGCAAGGACAGCACCGCAGCGGTGTGTCCTGCTGCCCTTCAGTCAAGACAACCTGGACCTCAAGTCGCAGCCCCGTCCCTCCACGTAAAGGGGTTCAGGAACTGTCTGCTTAAGGACTTCTTAGTGAATGGAAAACAAATAGTCCTGAATCTAAAACCCTTATCAAAATGGTGGAAGCCTTGAGCCTAGCTACCGCCAATATAGTTTTTCCACCAGAAAAGTATTTTAGTTTGAGGGGGACGTTATCAGGATGGGAAGTTTCCTCCTGAAAGACACCCCAGATGACGGCTTTCCAACTAACTATAGTCTTCAGGAATTAAAAATCTATTGCAGGGATGCTTTACATTTTCTTCTTCTCCTCTCTCTGTCTCTATCTCTCCGTCTGTCTGTCTCTCTTTCAATTTAAATCACAGCTTTCCGCTTCTTAGAATTTACAAAAACTTCTTATTTTTAAGCTTCTCGTGGTACATTGTTGGAGGCAAAAAGCCAGTGCTGAGAGGTCTTGAGATTGCTATTCTCCTTTTATTGGGGCAAACACCCAATAATTGACAAGAACCTAAATGGCCTTGAAGCAAGCAGGGTAGCGCCCAGGGTCACCATTCTCTGGACCCGTTCCCGCTCGGTGGGCTCGCGTCTGCCTCGACCCTCGCAGGACCGCTCTCGGTTGCCGCGCACGGGTCATCTGATTTGAGAAGCTGCTTTTAGCTGTCAGGGGTTTGTTATTCCTATCCATCTCTCGTTGCTCTGAATCCAGCGCTGCCCAACAAACACTTAGATTTTTTCTTAAGTCATCAAAGAAGACAAGCCGGAGTGGGGGAAGCAGATGGGCCCTGCGTGTGCGGAAATGGCCGGGGTTGGGTTGAGTCCCGGGCGGCTGCCGAGCGGACTCTTCGGAAAGGCCGAAGATTTCTCATTGCGGCGGGGTTTGTTGGGGGTCGGGGCGGGAGATGTCTTTCTGGCGGCAGATTCATTCTGAGTCCTTCCTTAAGGCCAAGTTAACCCCGTGCTCCCAGAAAAACACACAACACGGCCACAGCCAACACAACAAAAGGCGCCTCCCCGAAGTGAGTCTAAATGTACGCGGGACGGGTGGCGACCGGACGTGGAAAGGCACTTTTGTGCCTCTCATCTCGGGCGTCCATCTGGCCCCGGCGGGCGCGGGCGGCGGGAGGGCGCCGGGGGCCAGGAGAGGGGAAGCCGGGAGGGGCGCGCGCACGTATCCAGAGGCGCGGGCACGCTCGCCCGCTCTCCTTCACGTTCACCTTGACTGCAGGAGGCGGGGGATGGGACTACCTCCCCCCCAACCCCCGCCACCAACGCTTCTCCCCACCCCCCGCCGCTGTCCTGCCCAGACGCCAGCTTGGGGCTGTGGGGGAGAGGGGGAGGTGCAAAGGCGCTCGGGTCGCCGCAGCGGCCGGACAGCCGCGCGCTCTTCGCAGTGATGTCAACCGCATCCTCCGCAGGCCCCCAACCACCCCCACCCCAGGCCTTGTCCGCACCCCGGCCCGCAGAAGGCCTAGTCCGGCAGGGTTCTCGTCCTGAGGACGAGAAGCAGAGGGCGTGCAAGTGCCCTGAGCCCCCCACTCAATCTGCAGAAGCGGGAGAGAGGAGTGGACAAACCGCGGTGCCGCGGCCGCTGGGGCCGAGAAAGGGGAGGGGGGCGGTGGACCCAGATGTGGGTTTGACGCCTCGGGCCGCCGAGGGGAGTCTGCCCCTACTGGTACAGCCAGGGTCACGTTAAGGGAGCAGAGGGCACGGCCCACTGCAGATGCCGCGCGTGTGGGCACAGAGAAAGCGCCCCCTTCTCCCAGGATAGAAATGGATAAACGGAAGCGCGTGTGAGTGTGGGGGTGCGAATTGCCACCTCCAGCCTTGGCTTTCCCGCTCTTCCGAGCGTTCCCACTTCTCACTTTCCCCAAATCCGCATTTTCCTTGGCACAGCTTTTCCGGAGCAAGGAGAGGGAGGTACCCGGGGGCAGTGAGAATGACGTGTGCTGGTGCAGAGAGGGGGTGGGGGGCTGCGGGCCGGGCTCTGTGGACCGGCTCCTAATCCTCTTGTTTTCGGTACAGTCAGCAGATGTGGCTTCTTTTAGCTGAATAATCCGTTAAAAGAATAATAATTTTTAAAAAGGAGATCGACCTCACCCGAAGAGGACGGCGAATGAGATTAGGGCTTGGTAAGGATAAATTAAAAGGCTCCAAATTCTCTCTGTCCCTCTTTGCCTTCCTCTCTACCCTCCTCCCCCTCCCTCCCCTCCCCCCCTTCTTCCCCATCCCCTGCAATCCGCACTCGACGCGAGTTCACGCGGAGGGCTGGATTTCCAGGCTGAACCGCAACTTGCGCTGCGCGTTATTATTATTCATCTGAGGGTGCTGCCGCCACAACCTTTGCCTCCTGCGCTCCTCTCCTTCCCCCCAGCCGCCGCCGCCAGTAGTGCAGACCCTCCTTCACGCATGCTCCGGTTCACCAAAGGGAGATTCTGAATTTTTTATCACGCTCATGATCATCATCATGATGCTCCTTATCATGGTTATCATTTCCTCCTGCCAGGTGGAGCGACCACCAGCGCCTTCTCGCCGCCCGCGCCGGCCCCAAGCAATTCGGGCCCTGGCGGCCGCTCCCTGGATGCCGGCTTCCTATGCGTCTCCGCAGCCCTCCCTCATTCATCTGCATGTATATTATCTTGATCCCTTTTATTCCAGTAGATCCACTGTTTTTCGTTGGGCTGGCTGAAACGCTGCGGACTGCGACCAGTCTCTTAAAAAGAAGAACATAAAGAGGAAGACCTTGAGTGGACCCCCGGACAAAGCACTTTGGGCTCGGCGAGGAGGGACGCGCGGGAGCGCCGGCTCGGAAACACGAGTGATCTCCGGTGCCAACGGGCGCCAGCCCGGCGCGCAAACCTCTGAGGGTATTCGGGCCGAATTTTTTTTATCCTTTTGGTTTGCCTAAACAGTGTCATTGTTGGGGAAAGGTTGGGTTTGTTTGGTGTTTTTCTGGGAAAGGGAGCTGAATGTGGGAGATCGGGTAGACTTAACTTGGCTTTCCTGCTCCCCTGCCTCACTTTCTCGAGATCCGGGTGTTGGAGAGGAGACCGGGGAGCAGAAGGCTGAGAAGAGAGCAGAAGCTGGAGATGTTGCCCGGAGGACTGAGGGAATAGTGGGGCGAGGGAGAGGTGAGTGGGGACGGACCAGCTGGAGGAGGATTGCGAAAAGAAGGTTTTTTTTTTAAATCCCCTCTTCTGGTTCACAGGATGAGTTTTGCTGGGGATGAAATACGGGTGTCTATGGATAGGCGCTCTGAGAAATTGATTTTAAGAAAACTGATATGTCCGTGTACACACAGAAGGAGGCGTCTGGATTTGTGTGTAAACAGTGGAGAGGTGGAGGGAGGCATAGAGGGAGAGGGCTTAAAATATGTCTTATTATCCCTTTGGCTCTGGGGACTCTCATCCTCTTGCCCTCTCCCTTTTTTTGACCCGGGGATCCAGCCGCATTAGACACGAGTGACCTTTTAAATCTACGCCCACTCTTTACCTGGTAGAGACAGTTGACAGTTTGGGGTGGGGTAGGGTGGGGTGGGGAGAGTGGTAGGGGTGTTTCGAAGACATATATATTCTCTCTCTCTCTCTCTCTCCCCCTCCCTCCTTCTCTCCCTCCCCTCCCCTCCGTCTCCTCCTCCCTCGCTCTCCTCCCCTTCACTCCTTCTCTTCCTCCCTCCCACCTCCCTCGCTCGCTCGCTCCCTCCCTCCCTGCTGCATTTTGCATGAGCTATCTAGGTCATTAGCATTTTAGCGTATGCAAGACTTGACAAAGCTGATGAGGGGCCAGATGGGCCTCGCTCTTATGAGTTCTCCCCCCCCCCCTTTTTTTTTTCCTTTTCCTTTTTCCCCTCCACCACTTGGGACCTGAGCGAGAGGACTGCAGCAGGCGAGTTCCGGAAGGCTGATTGCCCAGATCCCGGCCCCGGACCGCGGCAGCAGCCCCCGCGGCACGCCCGGCCAGGCTACGCCTGGACTCCGAGACCGAGGTAAAGGCGGCGGCGGCGCGCCCTGCCCTGGCAGCCGCTGGCAAGCCCCTGCTGCCCTCCTCGTTTCCAGCCCTCGTCTTCCCCCTCCTGGCCCCCTCAGTTTCCTGGGCAAAGCTGAGGGCGAGATGGGTGGGTAGGGTTTGCTGCGCTGGGGCGAGGTGGGGTTGGTGTTGTTTTTTCATTGTCTGGAGCTGCAGGGGAGGCGAGGCGCGGGGAAGGGGCGAGGGGAGTCGGGGTAATTAACACGGGGGAGGCATCTCTCCGTCTCCCACTTCCACCCACACCCTCCACCACTCCACGCCCTCCGCTTTGCAGGAAAAAGCCTGGATCCGAAAGGATGGGGGAGAACAAAGAGCCTTTGGAAGACGTCGCTGTTATCTCATTGTCTGTGTGATTGGGGAGCTGCGGTAGGGAGGATGCTGTGGTCCTTTTCTTCCTGCACTCCCCACCCCCATCCCTCTCCCCGCTGTCGGGACGCACGCACACGCGCCGCTTTTTACTTATTTTTCCTTGTTTTCTCATTCCGTCTTCTTCCCACCCCCTTCCTTCCTTCCTCCTTTCCTTCCTTCCTCCTTTCCTTCCTCAGGAGAAAGGCCTCTCTCTCCGTGTTCACAGCGGACCTTGATTTAAATGTCCATACAATTAAGGCACGCGGTGAATGCCAAGAATGGGGCTGGCTGAGCACCGTCGGTCCGCGAGGGCCCGCCGAGGAAGGAGCCGCAGAACCGAGGCGCCCTACGCAGAGCTCAGCGCTCCGGCTTCGGGCGGGAGGGGTCGCGGGCTCCCGCCGGCTGGGCTGCCCCGAACCGGAGCCCTTGGAGCGGGGAGGTGTGGGGCTTGCGACAGACAGGCGATTAGAGATGCAAAGAGACTCTGCGAGCGAAACAGAGGCTGATTCTACCACAGAAACGTAGATCTGTGCGAGCACAGATGAGGTGGGAGGGGAGGGTTGCCTGTGAGCGCATTGCGGAAGGCTTCTGTGTGCAGATTTTTCTCTGGGCTCGGGGTGCATTGTATGCGGGTCGACACCTTCCTCCGTGGCTGTGTTTTTGTTCTGAGCTTAGCTTTTAGTTTGCCCTTTAAAAAAATAATCTGGCATCCAAAGACTGGCAGACTGTGCCAGGGCTTGGACTGCAGATATATTGTGTTTGCTTGAGGCTTGGGGGGAGGGGTGTCGCCAGTTGAGAGGGAAGAGGGAGGTGTTTGTCACCCTTTACTGTAGCGCTTTGGGCACCTGACAAGCTTAAGGAAGTCGTTGGGATATGGAGGGAAGAAGAAACAAACTTCTGGACCGTTCATGAGCTCCATCGGGGCTGAAAGCATGGCCAGGGCTCTCAGGAGCCTCTCACTTCCTCTCTGCGCTGTAATTGCAGTTTCAGGCAGAGATCCAGGAGATGCAGAGGAAGGGATAGGCGCAATAACCTACATGTGCGGAAGGAGGGGATGCATTCCTTTTAAAATCTGAACAGAAGGAAAAACAGAATGGCTGCAAGTGTTGGTCTGAGGAGAGACTTTTGAAAGACAACGTCAGGGAATGGAAAGGGTTAACCCACTCTCATCCTGAAGTATCTGCTTCCCCAGTCGGGCCTTCCTCCCCAGCACTAGACCTAGAGCAGCAGCTGGTCCTAGAGACCCCTCTTGCTCTGCACAGTGACAGCCCCAGCCCATCTCCAGCTCTGTGTTAACCCCCAAGCTGCAGTGGACGGTGGCAAGACATAAACCTGTTAATTTCCAGGTGGAGAAAATGGAGGAGGGGCAGGTGCCTACAGAGAAAGGAGGCCAAGAGCTGGATCTTCCTACCCAGGAAGCCTGCTGCATCCTTTCCCTACCCTTGGCAGAGGCCTCTCTTTGCAAGGCCAAGGCCATAAGGGATGCTCAGGATTAGAGTTTGATTCCTGACACACTAACCAAGGCCTAAGAAAGTCTCAGTTGAGGCTGACTCAGGAGCTCTCTCCTCCCCAAAGCCTCGTTCTGGCCCACTAAATAAACTAGTGTGCAAGGACACCATGGATCCCTAGCCTCATTTCCTCCCAAATATTTATTGAGTACCTACTGTGTGCCAATCATTCTATAATTATTGTATCTTAGGTTCTTCCTTTGCCCTCCTAAGGGAGTGTCTGGAGTAAGGCGAGGTTAAGTGTGCTGTACCTCATCTAGACACTCCCAGAACCTTCTCTGGGTCTGCAGAAATGTGCCACAACCTGCTCACCCCTGCAGAGAGAAGGCTGCAGTTCACATCATGCCATCTGCAGGTGTGGTGCTGTCCCCCAAGTCCCAGAAGGCAAGCCTTGCTGGAGGACAGAAGAGAGAGCATCTTCTCTCGCCCCTGTGCCTTAGTCAGGGTTGTCCTAAAAGGCACCCGCAGCCACTGCCTTCAAAATAGACCTCCCTCCCAAGGATGCCTCCTTGGGGTGTAAATCTCCTTGCCTTTCCCCCTGCCTCCCTGGGAAGGCTGCTCTGACAGTTCTTTGGGGCATGGTTTCAGCCTCTGGTGGCCAACTGTTTGCCCCACAGTTGTCCACATCAGTGAGCCTCATCTCCATAATTGCTTCCCCGTAATTCCATCAGACGTGGCTGCACTCCTTGCTGATGTGCCTGCCCACAGTACAATCCTCAAATGCCTTCCCAACTAATGCCCCTTTTAGGTGGAAACCCAACGCGCTTCTCCCGGAGAGCTCAAACCGCAGGCACCATGGACAAGGCCCGCCAGGTCCTGCTGCCAATAATCTATGATGGGAGGGGCGTATTTTTATTTTATTACTTATGAAAACTCTTGTTCCAGAAAGCTTTACTGTGTGTGGGAGTGTTCTGGTTTGCTGGGTCTGTGCGTATCGGTGTGGGGATTTTCCTGTGTTCACCAGGTCTCATTACAAAATGTGTTTTTATGTGGGGCTTTAATGACCGAAAAAGGGAGAGATGAATGCACCCTTCTGCCTCCTGTGTAACTTCAAGGCCCCTTTTGTGTTCACCTAACAGAAGTATCAGAGTGAAGGTTAGTCCTAGCTTCATCCATTCCTCTATATTCGGGGCCTGTTTAGCCCAGCGATATTTATGTAAGAAACCTGAAGATTTCTGCTCTTTCAAGGCATTTCTTTAACTCGCAACATCATCTTCTCCGCAGTCTGTCTATTTGAGCCCCTCTGATTACATCCTATGGCTTAAATGAAGGGAAAATATATGATTTTAAATGTGTAGGACGCGTTCAAGGCAGTTGGCTGACTGAATATAGTCAGGCCCCCTTCGATTCACACACACCACCATCATTAAGGTCCTCATGGTGATGGGAGCTAATGTGTTTTCTCAAGGTTACGGTACTGTACCAGATACTTGAAGATGGATTTAGAAATGTATCAAAGGAAAAATTGGTAATATTCTTTTTTCCCCTGCCAGAGACAGCCCAGGCCCAGATCTCTGTTTAAGTGGAAAAGAAATTGATTCTTTAACAAAGACAAAGGTAAATTCTGTATCACTTCTGTCACCAAAGGGGTGGGGAGGAGGGACAGTTTTGTAGACACATGAGGACCCTGAGCCAGAGAAATAAATATGTAGGGGGAGGGGTAGTTTCTCAGCAGGTGTATGCCCATTTACACACACATATACAGACATTTTCTCACATAACCACATCCATGGCTAATATTTATAGGAAAGCATTCAACCACACACATGAAAAACATCCATCCATCTCTACTGTCGCCACAGGGAAATAATTTTCTCTTTCCCTCTACTGAACTTACATAATACCCCCACCCCTTGTTCCAACCTTAGAATGGAGTCCTCTGGGGGCAGCTGCAAAGCATTCTCCCTAGGACAGATGGAGCCTCCCTTCCACATCTCCTCTGTGGGTGGTTTTAGAGCTCCATGAGTCAACATGGGCTGAGGGTTGTGCTGGTGGTATGTGTGTTTGAGGCTTGCCTGGCTGATTCATGGTGATGAGTATGTCAATAATAACAATTATGAGAATTATGATACCTAATAAAGATCTTGTTTTCTTCCAAGTCCCACCTACAGTTCTTTCATTTGGGTGTTTTTGCCAAGTCTTATTCAATTGGACTTCAGTTCTTAAAAAAAATATTTAATACTTAATTGCATCTCCAATACAGACATAGTACAAGAGAAAGGACTTCAAATGGGCTTCATTGGAGTCTGTGTGTCCCACTCTGTGCCACCCTGTGCAGGTGTGCGGTGGCCTGGAGAGATCAGCACCGAATTTAGATGGCCTGGAAAAAAAGCAGGCCTTATTGAGAGCAAGGAATGTTCCAGGTCAGAAATGAAGTGTAGCAACTCTCAATAGGTTCACCTTTTCATTTTCTTATCCTTCTCCCTGTTGTCTTAAAATGGAAATGTTACCCAAAAAATGAAGACCTGGGTCATGGCTGCATAAGTCCAAAAAATAAATCTCCAGGATCACTAGCGGCTTTCCCTCTCAAAATGAAAGTGGGGGGAGGTTCATTTTACATCAAAATCCAATCTATTTATTTCTTAAACATATACATATATTGAGTCCTAGGACCTAGGAGGCAATATTTTCGCTGAAGTTCGGTTTGCTACTTGGGGTAAGGTTTTTAAGGTGATTCTTCGCGGAGAGCGGCGAGTGTGCGGGTCCTGCCCCGGAGACGGGTGCCCGGGGCTCGTCCTCGCCACCCGCGGCCCCACGCCCAGGCCCTCCCAGTGACCAGGTGCACGAGGTTTTCTCTTTTCTCTTTTTCTCTTTATGCCCCTGAGACATCTAAATTGAGCGAGATGGAAATGAACAAGCGCTGGTTTCCTTTTTCTTTTCTTTTTTGCTCCTGTTTTCCCGACTTTGATTTTTTTTCTTACGCGAATGAAGAAAGTTGGGGCCCCAAAACCCTGGTCATCCTGCATTTCCCAAAGCTTCGGACTGATCCGAGGTGCAAGTAGATGCGGAAAGGGCAGGGCCCCCTCGGCACGGGGTCGCCAACAGCTGGGACAGTCCCCGGAGAGTCACCTTTTCCCCTTTTCCGTGCACCTCCGTTCCTCCAATTTCAGTCTAGCGCCAGAGGGACACACGACCGTCAACCTTAGAGTTGACTGCCAAGTCTGGGGCAGGAATGCAGGGCGGGTCAGGGGAAGTACATCTTCCCTTCGGAAGGGGGCACATCTTAGCTTCAAAGAATGGGCCGTGCCAAACCAAAGGCCTTGGCAGGACCAAGAGTCCTCCCCACCCAGCGCCCCAGAGCTTCCCGAGCCGCAGGCCTCGCCCGGACGCCGCGCCCTCCCCGATGCGCACCCGGCCTGCCTTTGCGTGGGGTGGGGGCCAGACGCCCCGGCCATCCGTCCCTCTCCCCTCTTCCTCCTCTGGGCCTCCTTCTCGTCCACTCCAGGACCTGCGGCCGCCACGACCTAATCTCGCACCCGGGAAAGCCTTAGAATGTGCGAGAAAGAGGAGCGGGGGACGCGGCCCAGGAGCTGCACGGCGAGAGAGGAGGTTGGGAAAGGACCTCGACCCAAAAGTCACTTCTTAGCCACTCCCTTGGCTTCCCACCATCAGAGTGCAAGGGTGAAAGCACTTTGTGGGGGGGAGGGGGGCGGTATTACTCGCCTCGGTGCATTCTCCCGGACTCCCCTTTACACCCGCCCAGCCGTCTATCCTCCATACCCACGGTGATCCGGCCAGGGTGCAGGCACCTTCCCTCAAGATCCGGCAATCGACCACCCCCGGCGACACGTCCTTGCCACCCCCAAACACCTCCTTCTCCGCCCCTATAACACTATCTTAAGAACCCAAAATCCGCACCCCGGAAGGAAAACGACACATTTCTCCTTCAGCCTTAGTCAGCGCTGGTCCCAGCTGCTACGCCAGAGGGGATGGAGCCGTGTAGAAGTCGGTGTGAAGGAGAGGAGCAGACTTGCTCTTTCTGTCTTCCTGCACCTCCAAACCCCAGCCCCTGTCCCAGGCAGAAAGAGGTACGGCCGTTCCCGTCGACTGGACACGGTCTCTGCTTTAAAAAGAACTAAATTCTTTCCTTTTCCACATCTGCTGGGCCCACCAGAGTGCAGAGTTAGTGATGTAAGGCTCCTTTGGACTAACAGGCCAGTGCTCTGAAATAACCTTCAGAGCTGTGGTCTCAAAGTCACGTGCCCGAGGAAAGGGGGCCGGTTAAGCCTCCAGAGGCCACAGTTCAGGACCAGAACGCACCTGACAAAGGTCGTGCCGCCGACAGCTTCTGACACACAGAAAGGTGCACCTGGACTTCACGGGGGGCTTCCCTTCAGCCCCCTCCCACACTTACACAGATTGATGCGGCAATGTTTATTCCCATTTAATTGAGGCACTGGTTTAATTTCAGATTGCTTAGGCTTAAGGCCCAATGGGGTTTTCTGCAGCTCTTTTCCCCAGTGCCTCTACAGAAACTAATTGCTGTTAATATCCAATTTTGGCTTTATTATTCGTTAGCCAATTATGTATCCCATAGCCCAGGCCCCTCGCTGCTTACTGCCTCTGCTGGAATCGGTTAACACTATGCTCGGCTTCTGCTCTGCTCTTCGCCTCTATTCCGACCCTACCCCCACCCGAAGATGATTTACTGGGCACATCAATCATTTTGTCTGTTTGTCCCAGCGCTCAGCGCAATTGGTGGAGCGGGGGGTACTTTCAGGCTGTTTTCCTCTTTTGAGGGAAATTTCTTCTCTGCAGTGGAAGTAAGTAAATAATTCCCACTTTTTAAAAAAAAAAAAAGAAAGAAAGAAAAGAAAATTTAAGTTTTTCCACTCTCTCTTCACCGCTTCTGGGCTTTCTTCTTCTGGAGCCATTTTGGAGTACGTTTTTCCATCAGAAGAAATCACCATGCCTCAGCCTCTGAACTTTCCCTCCCTTCTCACTCTCCTGTTCATCTCCCCAGGAACCCGACCAGGGCCAGTCTGCAAGCTACCACATATATAACGCCACCATTCAAAGCGAGTGCTCGGACAACGTCATTTCACATTTCCAGGAGGGAAACTTGAGAGAGCAGTTTGGGAAAGGCACCGTCTTCAGAGACCAGGAGGGACGCTTTTGTCTCGTCTCCCACAGATGCCCTGGAAACGCTCCTGCTTTACTTCCTTAGCGTGTGGAGCTGACGCAATTGGGGGCAACCGCCTTTAAAAAACGTGTTCTGCCTCGCTTTATTTGTGTGCTCTGAGTTCATTGATATACGGAAGCAAGCACTTCCCGTTACTGGTGCTCTGAAAACAGAAAAATAAAGGTAAAAATCATAATGACAGCAGGGACATCCTTCTTTGTTTTCCCTTCCTCCCCCATTTTGAAATAATGCTTTAACTGCTCTAACGTGCTCTCACATTTCTCTCTAGCAGTTCTATAGCAACCTGCACAGTGTCAGCATCAGAATCAAATGAAGAGAAAACAAAATGTCAGAGCAGCTGGCTTGGCTGAGGCCTCCCATGGCCACCTGGAGGCCTGGCCCCTTCTGATGAAGTCGGAGGAGTCTGGAGGCTTTCATCAGCCTGGGAATCCTATGGTCAGGTTTCTCGAAGGGGGGAAGTGGGGGTGAGTGTTGTGTAGGGCTGGGACATTGTTAAGAAGGTGGCTTACACATAAGGTTCAATAAATACCACCCAAATTGGATGTAATTAAATTAGCGGCAGCTGTCCTGCTTTTCCTGCAGAAAAGCTACAATTATGCATTAAGGCCTCTTGAGCAGAAGATGGATAGAGTGGCCTCACAGGGAAGGAAGGAGCTTAAAAATGTTTCCGGTTTGTACTCTAGCCTCAGCCCTGCTTAACTCGTCCAGATGCATGGAGTCTGATTTTCAAATAGTTCGTGCGTGGTAGACAGACTACATACAGACCCAGTCGCAGACATAAAAAACTCTTCTTTAGAACCTTTCTATCTTCCTTGTAGAGCACTTCTTTTGCTTTCTAATTACCCTCATACTCAAATCTCTTCCTTCACCACCCCCAATTCACATCTCACCAAGGTCTTCCCTACTGAGGTATGCCCTAAATAATAAATAAATAAATACCAATTTCTGTTTCCTTCTACTCTCCTCCCTCCAGCCTCTTGAAAACATCCATCTTCTCAATGGTCAGGCGGTGTTAGGGGAAAAGCAGTGAAGTTAAACCATTTCACACTAATATGTGAATTGCTTAGTGTCTTAACTTTCCCAGGGATATTTACATTTTAGAAGAGGCACTCACATAACAAGTGGAATCTCATTGTAGGAGTTTCTTGTAAAGGCATCCAAAAGTGGGAAGGCAGAATAGCATCAACCTCCCCACTTTTTGTGTGAGAATAGCATCATCACTCCTTCATTCCAGATACACAAGTCCTCCAAACACACGGATATGACATAGTTAATAAGAAAACACATTTCAAGAACCTCAAATGAATCCTCATTTGTCCCGCCCTCGAGTGCTGACGATCTACTAGTCCCAACTGAAGGCAGGTAGGAGTGCCCTGAGCCTTTAACAGAGACACCTGTGATTTTTGCGTAATAAATGAATATCAGTCTAGGTTAAGGCCACCATGTTTAAAGCCGGCCTGTCATGTCATTTTGCATAACTGTGAATTCTGATTTTCTGTGAATCACAATTAATTGTTGGATTACATGGTAAGCCCACTTCACTCCAGTAACCCAAAGTCAACCCAAAGAAGTTCCAGGCAAAACCCAGCATTGGGCAGAGCTTGAGGTGGGCATGTTCTGGCGTCAGTTTTGTTCACTCTCCTCTCCCTAGTCAGCCCTTCCCTTGTCTAACCCAAGCTCCCTCATCTCCTTGACACCCTGACTGTGTCCCATGCCCACTGTGCATCCATGCTGTGAACAATGGCAAAGCCGGGACCCAGAGCACGTTCTTGCAGGGTGAGGACCAGAATGGGTGGGGACTTGTTTAGTGAGCAGGAGGCCGGCACATACAGGAACTGCCTTCCCAGCTTGCTGCCAGCCTCTTGGAGAACTTGGACTTGGAAAATGTCAACAGTCTCTCCCCGCTCTTCCCACTCTTCCCCTTCTACCTCAGCATCATGCCGCCTTCATGTGGACG